TTATAGGAAAGAACAAAGCTGTGCTAATTTTTTATGCAAATGTTTGAAATTGTTTTCTTACTGATTCACCACACTGGAAGCCCTCATGAACGGTATTCCTGTATGATGTCTTTGCTGACCTGTTTAAATATTTTTACAAACTATCCAGTTTTAAACTGGGAACAGGGCTAAAGAGATTGTTAAGCATTTAAGAGCACGTCCTGCTGTTTCCTGAATATTCAGTATTCAGACCCCAACATCAAGATCAGAGGCTCACAAATGCTTATAATCTCAGTGCTTCTAGCCTCCTAGTGCACCCACACATATACATGAGCGCACACACTCGCACAGGCATATATGTGTAAATAATAAGTTAAAAAATAAATATGAAAATTAAAAGGAAAAAGCACAAGAGCTTCTTTTATGGGTCGTTTGGCAGCCTAGTGATCATAGAAACAGTGTTCAGTGGAAATGGATCAGCTATTCCAGAGTACATCAACATTTCGCAAGTGAGCGTGAGAGCAAAATTGGATAGGAGACTGTATAGGTTCAGTAGGTAAAAAAAGGAAGCACCACCTACTATGGAGATCATGATGGAGCCTAAAGGTTGTATACAGTGGTCTTTTCCTACTCAGCCTCTTCCATCAAACTGCACTTTTCAGAAGCAGCAACATGAAGTCTTAAGACTGTAAGACTTGCCATGGCTGGAGTTTATGGGGCAGAACATATCAAGAGAGACTATATTCCAAGGCCCATTTGGTTCCATTAACTCCTCTGTTCAGAATTCAAAATTAGAACAAGTACAGAGTCAGTGTCTTATGAGAACACCTGAGCAGAGGAGTAGAGAAAATTCTCCCAAGGTAAAAGGGAAGGAGAGAAACAGCCATAAAGAAATCAACCAATTTCCCCACACTCTCCATGGGCAATTCCTGACTTAACTCACTTCCTATTCCTGGCTTTTGTGAGCTACTGTGCCATTTGAAAACAATCTGTGTGTGTGTGTGTGTGTGTGTGTGTGTGTGTGTGTGTGTGTGTTTGTGTGTGTTATATATTTAAGTTTTTGAGTTACTTGTAATCAAAGAATTGTTTCTGAAGAAGTAAAATGCACAGTTCACATCCACAAAATTAAAAGAGAATCATTAACATAGAAGTAACACATAAAATTACAGAAAATTTGAAGAAAACATGGTTAAAGAGCTGAGAATGTATAAGATGTGACTCTTGGAGCTTGACTGTTTTGACTTGTTCATTTTTTATACAGTGGAGTCTAATCAATAGGAAAAACCATTAAGGAAGGAGAATAAACATGAGAACATATTCACCCAGCATCCAGTTGAGCAGGGTATTTCACAGGCTAAAGGAACCATAAAATCTGTTGAATGACAGTAGTGGTTCTGTTAAATAAAGACAAAGATGATCATTAGATTTAAGTCACTGGAAGTCATTTGGCAAATAAAATTAAAACCAGATCAGTAAATCTTCTACCTACCAAGTATCATTTCTACTTAATGAAAATGATCCTTTATTACAAAGAGATTATACAACTTTTTATTAATAAATTTATGTTCACATCTGTCATATCAATAGATTTTTTATGTTAGGAAAAATGATGTGATTAAATGAGATTCAAAACGGTAATTATATTTTCCTTCTTTAATACTATCTTCAAGTTTGAGCCAAGCTTGCTTTAATTCTGTAATCTTTGAATTTTTTAAAATTTCTCCATCTTTAAGTGACCTCTAAATCAACAGATGTCCCTTGATGATACAAAAGGGTGTCCTTACACCCTATTCACACTGAATTTTAAGGGTTGCTTTGTTTCTTTCCTTCGAGAAGAATTTTCTTTATAAAAGAGTATCCCGGATTAAAAGTTTTAATGCACACTGGTCCCTGGGAATGATGAAATTTTATTCATTCCTCTAATTTTGTAAGTCTTTGTTTGCCACTTGGCAATCAACATTTGAAATGTGTAAAGACTTGATTCACAAAATATCAGTGGACTAATACTATACAGTATCATTTACAATTAATTGTAGAAGAATTCTATGGAAAGCCATCAAGGTAGTCAGTCACAAGCCAAGAGCTAGTTCCTGCAGTAAAGTAAATTCAGTCTTGAAATGAATTACCAGATACTTCAAGGTGATGATGATGAGGATGGTGATGACGTTGATGATGATCATGATTTTGAGACAGAATCTTATAGTACATACTGGCTTAGAATTTTCTTTAGCCAAAATGACTTTGAACTTCTGATCATTCGGTTCCTCCTTCCAAAGTGCAGGAATTATAGCTGTGTACAACCACTCCAAGCTTACTTAATGTTAAGGATTGAACCCTGGGGTCCATGCTTATTAGGAATACAGAAACTAATTTGGTCATTATTACAAACTATTGGCACATTGTCACTACGATTTCTCTTATGAAAAATACTAGTGAAAAGTGAAGGTCACCGTGGTCAATTCAATGTATTTCTTCATCCTTTGGCAAAGATTTGCCTTTTAACTCACTGCCAAAGAGTGATTCAACTCATTTTCATACAAACAATTTAAATCAAACAATGTGACATTTAATACTTAATCAAACAAGGGGTTTCAGTTATGTGATGCAAAGTGCTGATAACAGATATCTGACAATCAAATTGACTTGCTTACAGTACTGTCTCATCAATCATCTCATAATAGCTTCAGGATTGAGGGTTATTCACAGGCATGTTCCACAAAGCAGTGTGTCGAATGTGTGTGTGCACATCTGTGTTTTTTGTTATTCTACTGTAATTCTGAGTCAGACTTGAGAGATGGGCTACTTGTAGGTTCCAGTTGGAAGTCTAAAATTTCCCCACATTTTCAGAAAGCCCAGACATATGTTACCTATTAGTTAGCATGGTAATATTTACTTTTATTTCCAGATTTATAACATTCATTAAGAAATTAGAAAGAGCATTTAGACCTGACCATTTTTGGTACTGAGTAACCAACTTTCTTGGGGAAGAATATTTCCTCTGATTCTCAGTATTCCTTTGTTATCTCTAGTATTTTTGAGCAGGGGTGAGGTCCCATGAACTTTCCACTGTCTATAATAGCATGTCTACCGCTTTCTTCTTTGCTTAGCTCATGTTTGGGCAGTCATGTTGGTGAGACTTTATAGATGTAGCTTATGACATTACCAGAATGCATCATCTCAGAGCAAATTTCTAGACCATGGCCTTAAAATCATGTCTTCTCTGCAGGGTTCCCTGAGCTTAGGTGCAAGAATTTTTTTTTTAATGTTTTTATTGGGACTGGGATCTATAACTCTGTATTTTGATTAATAGTTGCTTTCTGTAGTGGCCTCTGTCTGCTTCAAAGCGAAATTTCCTTGATGAAGGATGAAGACTACAGTCTCTTAAAATAAGTACAATTGTTTATAATTAGGGATTATGTTGTTGAAATAAAGTGGTGATTGTAGGTTATCCTCTAAGATCCATGACTTGCTGAACTGAGCAGCTGGCTGGATTTCTAATGCCAGGTATGGTTTCTCTATTGTTGCATGGATCTTAGAGAGCTGCTGATTACCACTAATGTATGCAAGCCACTAATATAAAGGGTTGTTGTATCATGTATGTCATAGCTGTGGTTCATAGACATCATAGTTGGACAGGGCTGTTTGATATTTTTCCTCCATTGGAAGATTGTGTGGAGGATGACCTGAATTCTTCCTAAGGCCTACACTTTTTAAATTAGATTTCTGGTGCCAGAAATATACTTTTAAAATGCAGAGTTCTTCTGGCTTGCAAGAAATATAGGGGTTTTTAGATCTCTTTTTACTAAGAAAATTAAATTAGAAAACAAAAGTTATTTTAAAAGCAGAAAAGATAATGAATTTATTAGTCACCAACCAATTCTTTTTTACTTAATTGACCCACATTCAGAAATTACTTTCTTAAAATATTGCATATATCAGTTGTAAAGGCATTTAAAAATAGTTTCTGGGGATTTCAGATTGTAAGTGATGTTTGACAATAACTTCCTTACCAAACTCTGAAGTTTTGAATCCTAATATTGTACTGAAACTGTTTTATAATTAGACAAAGTAAAACTACAGACTTATTTAATTTAAATGACTTAATGATTACATTTGAAATAATAACCCAATGTAAATTTCCTACTTTATAAAGTGCTTTATAATTCATATCAAATAAATCAAAAATAAAAACATAACTGATTACATATCTGGAAGAAATAAGTGTAGAGATGATTGATTACTTATGGAAATGAGGCAAAAAGGAAGACTAGGGCATCTGCAAATGAAAGAAAAGATCATGTAAAGTGGTATTCCACTATTTTCCATCTTGCTCTGTGAAAGCAGAAACAAAGACCCGCCCCTGCACACTACTGCTTTCCTTTGGCCGTAGCTGATGAAAGAACAAAGAAAGAGCTGTCTGCCTTCAGAATTCATAGCTACAAGCTAGTCTTTATTTAACCTTCAGCTTTCTTTCTCCTTGACCAAGTGGTTAACAAACCGTCTCCACATTGCCTGTAGAGTAGTGCCAGACAAGTTGCAGTCTTAAGCATATGGCTTGAAGCGAAATTAAAATCTCTTTGTAGACACATACTTTTAAAACAGGACTCTCAAATGCCCATGGTATATGGTTCCCAAACCTATGATTTCTTTCTCATAAAAGGCACCACATGATGAGCTGAGGGATTAAATATATCTCCACAAATAGCTAAGATGAGCACAAAAACTTATAGTTGTATAAAAATGTCAAGAATTTTAACTATCAGCATAAGCTCTATATATGTAAATGCATCTAAAAGATAATCTTAAATATATTGCAATGGGATAAAATAAGATTATATTAACTGAATGTGAAATCAGACAGACTTTTTGCTTACATGATAAGATTCCTTATCTTATTCAGGATTGCCTCAAATCTGTGAGCAAGTGGCCATCTATCTCAGATTCTATGGTTACTAGGACAACACTTATGTGCTCAAGAGATGATTCATGCAAGAAATTAAAAGATCCAGAGAGAAGGTGAAATGAAATATAATATTTCAAGAATATACAAACATGAAGAAAAGAAAGTGGTAGTATCCCATGACTAGTGTGTTGGTGGCATGTCTCTGAAGTACCATAGCTGGCAGGGAAGCAAACCACAAAGAGGTGAGAATGAAAATTCCTTATTCATTACAGGGGAAGTTGGTCGATCAGACAGGGATAAAACTTCTAGAGAGTCTGAAATCATGGTTCAATTTCCTTATGCATTTAAACACAATAGACCTTTGGGAGAAAAAGTCACCACATGACAATTCTCATTAAAAATAAAGCTTCAGGGATGGATGGCTACATCAAAACTCCTTTGCAAAATAACATCACTATAGCAAAATACTTGAGATATTTTATCATAACAATGAGTTCTGTTGACTGGGAAACAGTGCTCTGGTCTAGGGCCTAGAGAGGAAGAATTTGTAGTAAGATAAGGATAGAGTCTATTGATGGATGAAGAATATGATGCAGCCTTCATAAGAGTGAATGACAAAGCCCAGGATTAGGACCTAAACAATTCTCAGGATTTGGACGAAATCAGGTAGTGACTGGCTCCATATAAAAGCATAGGATCACCGGGTTGTTTGACCACTTTTGATCCAGCATTTCATGTGATGAGACGCATTCCATGTGATGAGACATTATTTTTCCTTTCTTCAAAGAAAGTAAGCCTGCATACTTAAAAAGCCAGGTTCCTCCAATGCTGTTTCTAGCATTAGAACCAGAGTCAAAGAAGAAAACCAACCTTGTCCTGAAAGCAGAGCCAGTGAAAGAAACACATACTGATCCTGAAAACAGAGTTAGTTTAAAACAAAACAAAACACACACACACACACACACACACACACACACACACACACACACACACAC